TGTGTGTGTGTGTGTGTGTGTGTGTGTGTGTGTGTGTGTGTGTGTGTGTGTGTGTGTGTGTGTGTGTGTGTGTGTGTGTGTGTGTGTGTGTGTGTGTGTGTGCGTGTTTGTCGCACGCGCGCACTCTCTCTCTCTGGCTCATCCAGTGCTGTTGCATGCTTCCTTTCGTGTGCGTATGGAACACAGGCAAACAAACCAGGACCAAACCACCACAATGTCTCTCTTCCGCGCGGTACGTGATCATGCAATACACGCTTTCCCCGTGCACACGCAGTTCATTGTGAGGTGTTGACCTTGATGCCAACTTGACCACTCACACGCACACGCACATGTCTGCTCTTGCTGCGCGTTGCACAGGCTCGCCACTTCAGCAGCACCGCTGCCAACCTTGCACAGACCGCCAAGGTACGCACACACACACATACACGCATTCGCGGATGGTTGCCAAGCTTTGTGGCAACGCTGTGGCTGCTTGTGCAACGGGATGTGGATGTGGGTGGTTCACGTTTCTGCACGCACGCACATACGCACATACACACACGCACACACACAATCACACACATGCACACACACCCATACACACATGCACACACACACACGCACACACCGTGGCAGGCACCCATCCAGCTTTTTGGTATTGAGGGCCGCTATGCACATGCGCTGTACTCTGCCGCTGCCAAGAAGAACGCCCTCGACAGTGTCGAGAAGGAGCTCACCAAGTTCAAGGTGCGTTGTGGCGCGCATGTCACAGAACAACGTCGTGTCCCCACACAGACAGCTGGCTATGCAGTTGACCCGCTGGCTGACACGCTCCTTCGCACACCAATTGTCATTGCACATCATGCAGGGCTACACCGAGACCGACACCAAGTTCAACACCTTCCTCAACAACCCCGTCATCACCCGCTCCCAGAAGACAAGTTCGTGTCTGTGTGTCTGTGTGTTTGTGTGTTTGTGTCTGTGTGTATGGATGGACGGGTGTGTGGATGTGTTTTGGGAAGTGCAGAGAGGATGGCGATGGCAACACGCTTGCTCACGGCATGCATGACCGATGTGTGAATGCAAGACCCGTCTGCTCACGCGTGCGCATGGTATAACCTTCTGTCTGTCGCTGCTGGCGCTTGCTTGGCGCAGAGGTCATCCAGGATGTTCTGAAGAAGCAGAAGTTCTCCGACATTACCGTCAACTTCTTTGGTGTGTGTGTGTGTGTGTGTGTGTGTTGTGTGTGTGTGTGTGTGTGTGTGTGTGTGTGTGTGTGTGTGTGTGTGTGTGTGTGTGTGTGTGTGTGTGTGTGTGTGTGTGTGTGTGTTATACGTTGACAAGCTAACATGCACGCTGGGGGCAATTGGATCGGCCTTTAACAACCCAAATCGCACTGCCCACACACTGCCCACACAAACTCAACTCACGCGTGCCTGCAACAACCGTCGTATTCACGCACGGACACCAGCCGCCCTTGCCGAGAACAACCGCCTGACACACTCTGTTGATGTGATTGAGGCCTTTGGAAAGCTCATGGCTGCCACGCGCGGCGAGGTTGCCGCCACCATCACCTCCGCCGAGGTGTGATGGGGATGCAACACACTCATGCTTGATGTGGTTGTGTGTGTGCCTGTTATGCGTGCGTATGGTGATGTGTGTGTGCTTGTTATGCGTGCGTATGGTGATATGTATGTACATAGTGATGTGTTCATGTGTGTGTGTGTGTGTGTGTGTGTGTGTGTGTGTGTGTGTGTGCCTGATGACATATGCTCTGCCTCCAGATGTATTCTTCATGCCAACTCACCAACCAATGCACCGCCCCATCTCTACCACGCCACGTCTCATGCCAGGCGCTGAGTGCCAAGCACAAGAAGGCGCTTGAGAAGGCGCTGGACGGCTTCCTCAAGTCGGGCCAGAAGTTCAACCTCAACTACCAGGTGTGCTCGCTGATGGTGGTGATGGTGGTGTGTGTGTGTGTGCGTGTGTGTGTGTGTGTGTGTTGTGTGTGCGTGTGTGCGTGTGTGCATGTCTTCCACGTGCTTTGTCTCTGCGCATCGACCGCATTCGCTTTCCACCTCGTTTCTACCCCCTCTCTCTCACCACACCATCATCCTCCAACCTCCTCCCCCCCCCCACCGTTGCCCACCAGGTTGACGGCGCGCTGCTGGGCGGTGTTGTTGTTGAGATGGGCGACCGCATCATCGACATGTCGGTCAAGACGCAGATCAACAAGTACATCAAGTCCGTCAGCCAGTCCCTCTAAGCCGTCACCTGCACGCGCACGCACCTGTCACACACCTACGCGTGAGTGAGTGAGTGAGTGAGTGAACTCTCGCTCGCGTGAGTGCTAGGGCCTTGTGTGCGTATGTGTGTGTGTGTGTATGTGTGTGCGATCTGCACGTGTGTCTTTAGCGTTGTGTGTTTCTCTGTGCTGTTTGTTGTGTTTGTGGATGTTCATTGAGCCGAAGCCAATTTGACCGTTAGTCGTGTGCATGTGTGTGCATGTGTTTCCATGGAAGTTGTGTGTTGTGCTGTTCAAGCGTCGTTTCGTGTCATTTCGTTTGTACGTGTGTCGCTGTGTTCGTTTATTCTCGCACTGTTGTCGTGTTGTGGCCGTGTGATGAGAAGTAAAACCTCTCTTGTCTCAGTCCAAAACAGCCATGCCATTCCAAACACACACACACACACACACACACACACACACACCCGCACATGCACATCATTGGCGAGCGTTGTCTTCCCTGTCTGGGAGCAGGTCCATGACCACATGTCCACCATCACCACCACTACCATCACCACTGGTGCCTGTTGTCGCGTCGTGGCCATCGTGCGCGCCTGTTGCCGTGCTCATCATTGTTACTGCTGCTGAAGTCGTTGGTGGTGGTTGCACCGCCGCCCCCACCAGCTGCCCGTCGTCCAGTGTGCCGGGAGCCACGCCACTGACTGTGGTCGTGGCCGTGGTCGTCGTGGTGGTGTTGTTGCTAGTTGCTGTCGTGCTGGTGCTGGCCGTGGTGGTTGCGGCACCAACTGCCGGGGCCGCCGTGGATGTGTTACCCTGGGTCACACCTTGACCCATTCCCGCTGACATTGCGTTTGCTGTTGTCGCTGCTGCTGTTGTTGCTGTTGTTGCTGTTGTCGTTGCTGTTGTTGTTGCATGCGTGTTGCTTACGTGGCGACCCGTGCCTCCACCTCCACCTCCACTTCCACTTCCAGGGCCGTTGCTGCTGCTGTTAGCGTTCCCACTCGTGTTGGCGCTGGTGTTGGCGCTGGTGTTGATGTTCGTCGCCGGCTGCGTGCGTGCGTGGGCGGATACGGTGTTTGCCATTCGTGTTGCGTACAGCGGTGGGAATGTGGTGGTGTGCTCCGCTTCAGCCGGCACATACAGCACAGAGCTCGACACGGCTATGCGCGGCGGCGACGACGAAGATGTTGTTGCTGCTGTTGATGTTGTTGATGTTGCTGCTGCTGATGCTGTTGCTGCTGTTGATGTTGTTGATGTTGCTGA